ATTTTTGTAAGCAGGATTATGCTGTGTATCAGATGAAAAAGTGCCCCAGCCAAAGGTCCACAGGCTCACACGCCAAAATTTGTGGATAAGCTATAAGTCCCTCTCTAGATTAGTTGTTCGTCCGAGAGGGACTTAGAGCATCCGCACTCGTGCGGTAAATCGCGTGCGGTAAGGTAAAATTTACCGCAACTGCGGGGCCTTTCCCACACTGGTGAGAAATTAGGCCCGCGGTAGTTAACTTTTGATCGATTTGCGTTAGCGAATCGGTAAATTTACCGATTGGCTAACGCATGTGGTAGCCAAATTACCAGCCCCCTCTTCACTTCTCAAGCACACCAACTTGCCAACTTGCCAACTTGACTCAACTCCGACTCAACTCCTCTTGATTCCTCTCGACTCAAAACACCCGACTTAAGAATCAATGGAGACCCGACTGTCTTCTAATTCATCAAACTGATGGGTATGTCTGGTTTCTTACTGTATGATTCTCTTTATCCAACATTGATTAAGATTGTTCTACTTTACATGTGATTATATATATGTTCATTGAGATTTTAGATTTATCAATATCGAATTGGGTTTAAAAGGGTTTTAGATCAAAGTGGATCAATTTCTGATTGTTTGTTTTGATTTTAGAAGGTTTTGAACATGTCTTGTCGTTTGGATTGACTTCAAAAGGATTTGAAAAATAGATATCACATTCAACTGTAGAGGGGAACTATGCAAAAGGGTCTTCATTATCTGCATTTCTTTTCAAATTCTCAATGGTCTTCAACATGACAACTTTTAATTGATGGTGCAATGAATTTTTGTTTGCTTGTCTACAAACCTCTCTGTGCCAACCATCCAGTGGTGATGAGATCTCAAGTTACTCTCAAATGAACTTCCCTGTCCCAAAGCTCTTCTTCCCTGGCAGGGATCGCTTGAAATGCACTGATTGACTGAAAAGTCGATTGATTTTTTTGTTTGGTATATTTTGAGTCTGTAAACTCTGCATCAGTGTGGAAACTCAAATTACCTCTCAAGTTAGTTAACTACCGTGCAGGTAATTTTGGCACGAGTGTGAAATTTGGTCACGTTAAGTAATTTTTTACTTAATGTAGAGGTTGTTACCGCAACACCCAAATCGAAACGAAACGCACCGAAATATCGGGTTATTTTATTTCGTTGCGAAGGTACCGAAACGCAATCAAGCGAAATCGCAGTTTGAACCGAAACGCTTGAAGTCCCCAAAGGGTTTCGGTGCGTTAGATAAACCGCAATTCGAAACGAAATCGAACCAAAACCGCAATTTATTTCGGTTTTTGCAGGTACAAATAGGATACAAAGATTGGAGAGGAGGAGACACATATATTAGGAGTTGAAGTTTTAGCTTTGAGATAATCAAAGAAGTATACTATATTCAATAGATCAGGTGATTCAAGTTTTTTGAGCTGAACGAAGAAAGAAAATGAAGAAATCACATTTGTTGAAAGAACTACAACTAGAAAACATGTGAGAGTCAAGTCTTCTTGAGCCACTTTGACTGTAATCTTCTGGTAATGATGGACAATGTAAGGGAAGAGACGTGACAATAACTATCAGCAGCGAACGATAGCTTTTCTGATCATGCACGATAGCTTGTCTGATTGTTCTTCCCTTTACAGGGTATGATGACGCTATAAAAATGATGCTGTCACCCAAAAATGTTGATTACACACCTCATCAGCGAAATGTGAAACTTTATAGACGCTCAAAGTTGGAGCAAGCTCAAGAAAAGTTGTGAGAGTGGGTTTAAGAGAACACTTGAACCTGTTCAAGACGGACAAAAGGAACTGGACGTGAGGAAACAACTTTTGGACGATGTCAATAAAAAGTTCAGATGAGGAAAAGAATGCACAACAGTTCGAAAAGGAAGAGAACTACTGATAGGTGAAAACCTCCTCTCACTTCTCTTTTCACATGTAGTGGACTGGGAAACACCTTGCCTTCACCTTTAACAAACTCGCAACCAACCGCAGCATATTTCGGTTCGTTGCGAGTTGCGGTTCATCAAATCTGGTTTCGGTTCGGTTGAACCGAAATCACGATTTTGCTCATCTTATTTCGGTGCGGGAGGACCGCAATCACATTTCGTTTCGTTTAAACATCTAAATCGCACCGAAATCGCACCGAAACTGAAATATGTTGCGGTGCGATTTGGGTGTTGGTTACCGCACATGACCAAGTTAACAACCGCAAACGAGTGCGGATGCTCTTAGTTAGGTTAGAGGGTCACTGAAGTTGCGAGGACCGTCTGCCTCACCTGATGATGACCGGGGACCCGTTCGAACTCATATTTGGAAAACGGATACATAGCGCAGTCGGATCGGGTGCGAGCATGACAGCGGGGCGATCTTAACTTTCAGGTCAACTTAAGTTAAGTTCCACCTGAGGTTTTGGTCAAGTTTCCTGACCCACAGTATACAGGTCTGCGATCTGTCTCGAAAATTTTTCTCAAGCAGCCACTTCGACTTCATCCACTTTAGATTTTCAATATCGACTCTTAACATTTCAACTTTTCAGATCATGTCTCTTACTGAACAAGGTACTTCAAAACCATCAGACTCTACTGCAGCAAAGAAGAAACGGAAAAGGTCAACGAAAACTGGCACCTCTGCCAAATCCTCTGAGACTCCTGCCACATCGACCGGATCACAGAAGGCGACAAAAACAAAGGCGCCTGCAAAGCCAGTCGTTGAACTGCTAGAACCAGAAATTGAGGGAGCTTATTTAGATGCCTGTGAAAACTCCGACGGCGATGATAACAAAAGTGGAAAGCACAAGCGAAAACAAAAGAACGGCAAACGGAAAGACAACGCCGATGAAGGATCTCCCGCCACGGCTGGACCTGACCTCACGACGTTTGCAGAGTCATCTGCTTCAGCCTCGGACAAACCGCTTGTGACCGAATTCACATCCTTGAACTTGTCTCCCGGAACAGCGAAGGCTATAGAAGAGATGGGATTCAAGCATATGACCGAAGTCCAAGCTAGAACCATACCACCCTTGATGACTGGTCGAGACGTACTTGGTGCAGCCCGGACAGGAAGCGGAAAAACTTTGGCATTTCTGGTCCCCGCGGTAGAAATGCTCAGCAGGCTACAGTTCAAACCCCGTAACGGTGAGCTCTGTCCCAACTAGCTTTTTTCGATCATTCACGGGTTCTAACATTCTCTTTACATGGCTGGTTAAAACAGGAACCGGTGCTATAATCGTGTCTCCAACCAGAGAGCTGGCACTTCAAATTTTTGGTGTGGCTCAAGAACTCATGAAACACCATAGTCAAACATTTGCAATTACCATTGGCGGAGCGAATCGAAAGGCAGAAGCTGAGAAGTTGATCAAAGGTGTCAACCTGCTGATAAGTACGCCCGGTCGCTTGCTGGATCACTTGCAAGTTAGTCTTAGCCACTTCACTTCCATGACATTCCTGCTGGGTTTGCTTATTTTTCCAACATCTTCAACACAGAATACGAAGGGCTTTGTGTTCTCGAATCTGAAAGCCCTCATCATTGACGAAGCTGATCGGATTCTCGAAATCGGATTCGAGGATGAAATGCGCAAAATCATCTCACTTCTGCCATCTGAAAACCGTCAATCCATGCTCTTCTCCGCCACACAGACAACCAAAGTCCAAGACCTCGCACGTATCTCACTTCGTCCAGGACCCCTTTACATCAACGTGGATGCCAACAAGCAGGATGCCACTGTTCAAGGCTTAGAACAAGGCTATGTAGTTTGTGAAAGCGAGAAACGATTTTTGTTGTTGTTCACCTTTTTGAAAAAGAGCCTGAATAAGAAAGTTATTGTTTTCTTTTCAAGCTGTAACTCAGTCAAGTACCATGGGGAACTCCTCAATTACATCGATATACCTGCCTTGGACCTTCACGTCAGTTGCAGTTTGTTTCAACTTTAAACTTGAATAATCGAGACCTTCTTACTGATCAGACATGTTCGTACTTCAACAACAGGGCAAGCAAAAGCAGCAGAAACGTACCAACACCTTTTTCGAATTCTGTAATGCGCCAACGGGAATTTTACTTTGCACAGATGTGGCTGCTCGAGGTTTAGATATACCAAAGGTGGATTGGATCATACAATTTGACCCACCAGATGATCCGAGGGATTACATCCACCGGGTCGGTCGAACAGCTAGGGCAGGCAAATCGGGTCGAAGTCTTCTATTCCTGTTGCCTAGCGAACTTGGATTCCTTCGCTTCTTGAAGTTGGCAAAAGTGCCTTTGAACGAGTACAGTTTCCCCACCGATAAACTGGCAAATGTACAAACACAAGTAAGTGTAAAAATGATGACCTCCGAATACTCGTGTGATCTGTTTGACTGACTCGGGCCTGGTGATCTCAGTTAACAAAGCTCATCTCCAAGAATTATTACTTGAATCAGTCAGCTCGGGATGGATTCCGATCATATATCCAATCTTACGCCTCTTACAGTCTCAAGAAAATTTTCAATGTCAATAGCCTTGATCTCAACAAAGTGGGCCAAGCATTTGGTTTTACTGTTCCTCCGGCTGTCAACATCCCCATCTCGGCACTTAAAAATTCCGACAAAAAACGTTTAAAAACATCTGAGAGTCACGACCCTGAGCAGGACGTGGAGGACAAGTCAAATGGCGATTGGACGAGCGATGAAGAGGATGAAGATAATCAAGGTCCTCGAAAACGACCTACCGTTCGAAGAGAGAGCAATACAAACCGACGCAAGGAACAATTTGGGAGCAAAGCTGTGGCTAAGGACCATTTCCGCTCAGAAAACTTGAAGACCAAAGATAAGCAATGGAGTCGATGATCACCCATTTTGTTGTTATCTTTTTTTCCTCTTCACATCATGTTTCGATTAGACCAAACAGCACGAAATAATGCTGCTCTCATCGTCTGTCCACATTCTGAACAATATGACTTTTATGATTTCTGCCTTGGCCAGCGCAGGCAATTATTTGTTGTTACCATCATGACCCGGCGACTCGTACCGTGACTGAGTGGATCTCCCATGTGGTGAGATAGGCTGGGATAGCAATGGAACGTCTAGAATTTGCCATTTGCCATGCTACCACCATAAGACATTTGATAGAAAACCCCCTCAAGTGCGTTTGAATACGTACTCAGAGAGGCGTGTCAAGCCATTAGGGTTCACGGAGTGATTGCGAAGCGCGACGTCGACGTGGCGCGCTGCCGCACATGTGTCGGGTGTCACTCCGAATATCGTTGTGTCGCGCTGCACTTCAAAGGGTATTCGATGTACAGGAAATGGCCAGATTATCACGATAAACAAATCGCATGTATTGTTCTTCCTTGTAGAACTTTTGTAAAGAAATGACTAGAAACATATTGTACTGATACAGATGACGTTGAACCCGGGCGTAGCCTGAAGTTTTACATAAAATCTAATATGGGAGACAATACTTAGGGAAAAGATTTAGTGCTACGACTATGTCGGAAAAGGAACCATTGAGACTAGTTGGAACGATAGTGGGAACAGGGTTTAATGTCAGGTTATTTCAAGAGCTGTCTGATGAGCCAGCGTCGGCCGCTGGTGGTGGACTATCATCTCCGGCCGGTGGAGTATCACTTGCAGCAGGAGGAGTACTAGTAGTATCACCTCCAGTAGCAGGAGGAGCAGGAGGAGCACCACCTCCAGCACCGCCTCCGCCAGCACCTCCAGTGATCATTTTCATGAATCCCTCGAACTTGCAGATTTTAATCAAGAGACGTGCGCACATCAGTGAGGAATCAAATCTGCATTGGTGAAGGAAGCGAATTGAAAAGGTCAAGTACCATTGATTTCAAATCGAAACCACCGCCACCGAACCCGCTACCTTGTCCACCACCCATGGTGGGGAACTGACGAGCCTGTAAGCTGAAGACATACAGAAAAGAATTGGCATTCAGTGATAGAAAAGGGAGCTGGCTGTGAATGTGAAGAGCTTGCGAATCTCACCTTGCGGGGTACATGCTTCGACGATATCGAAGTCGACTTGAAGATGGTAAGGGTTCTTGATCGGTGATTGATCTTCCTCTGTAAAAAATGACGTTTCAAGGAATTTCAACAATGGTGGTCTTCCATTATAACCTGTTCAAGGGATCACACCAATTGACTTACGCGTAAGTCCCGTGCTTTTGACCTCCTTGTAATTGTTCGCAGTACACAGTCGCGAAGATTGCTAATAGGACAAAGCTAATCGATGTACCGAATCTCATTGTGGATGGTTATGTATAGATGCTAGGTACTATGAAGGTTTGCGTGAAAAATTTATGGATGCTGGATGCCAAGAATTCGAGATAACTTCAACAGTTGGTATGCAATACCTTGATTGGATGGGATATCTTATCTACAAAAAGCAATAAGGCGGGTAACAAACAAGAGAGTTGGGCTAGAATTGGAACGAGTATTGCAGGATAAAGATATGTTCTCCACACCCATGAACGCTGGTACTTAAGCTATGAAGAGGCCTGGTCAATTATTTCAGCCCTTTTTGCGCTGTATATCGCCTCGAGGGGGTTCCAGGGCAATACTACAAAGGCATCAAGGCATTATTCGAGACATTTTGCTTGTTCCTTCAAGCAGCTGAGATTTGTGGCAGAGAATGCGTGGATCTATCGTTGATATGATACGATTGAAACACTGACGATGCGCTACAGGGTCCGCTGTCGGTAGATGCCACAAGCCTGAAGATCAAATCGCTGCTCTTTCATCGCCGAGCGCCTAGTCTATGACACGGAATCGGATGTACCCCTGCTCTATCTGCCTTGGTTATTTCAGAATGATAGAAGTGAATTCATCGTGGAAGCAATGCCACCCTGCGAAATGAAGCTTCGGGCTATAGTAAAGGTGCTATAGGATTGCCGATGAAAATGAAATTGCAAGTTTGCCAATCGACAGACAATAGGTATGCCCCTCTGGAGCTAAAGATCACGTCTGGCCGAGAGTGGTCAGTATTTTTTTATACCGGAGAACTTAGAGAACAACACTTGCGACCTCAGTGATCTCATTCTTGCACTAAATACGGAGAGTTGCTTGTCTTTCTGGTGTAAATGTGTAATAAACCCTGGACATCACTGCAAAGCATACATGAGCCCACTTTACAAAAACCACATGAAGCGTCTGAACTCGCTGGTGGGCTCTCTCGTAGTGAAGGAGGTACCATCAGTAAGGCTAGTGTATGTTTGATGTCCAAGTGACGATGATAGAGGATCTATGTTCAGGTTACGAAGGCTAGACAACGTCTGCGTCCAACCACTTTTCACAAGTTAAGATTAATTGGGAATTTGATATGCAAAACCATCACTGGCTTGATCGAAACATCAGAGATTGACTAAAGGGATAGGGTTGGGTTATGCGCAAGGGAAGTTGAGTACCAAATGAAATAATTTTTGGAGGATAAGGATCTGTTAGTCAAAATTCTATAAACATTGGTATTTGTTCCTCCTCGAATATGCAAGTCGCTTTTACATTTGACTGTCGGTTCAAGATGACTTTTGCGAACGTCCTGACGTAGAGCCCCGATCTTGTTTTTTAGGGGTGCGAGACCTTTAAAATTTTGTTTCGCGGCCGCGTGAACAGTCTCCAATTTGAGCTTTATGGCCTTTTAAAAGCAGGTACAACGCATTGTCCCATCTTTTTTTCGGTACAACCATTTCTCAACTGTTGTTTTTTTCCTTTGAAAGCGATCCAAATCGATGTGACGAAAGCTGGGGAGTTGATGGTCAGAAACTGATCACCAACGTGAAGATCCAAACCTGATATCTTGAGTACCGTTACGGTCCATCGATACAAGGGAATTCCCCGATTTCCAGCCGGTAAACAGGTACAGATGAAAAAAAAAACAAAATTAAATATTCTTCGCCCAAAAACAGTGTTAAAACCAGGGACAACACAGCCAAAAAAAAAGAAACAGGTACATTTTTTTTATCTCTAGGTACATTTTTTTATATATCTTTTTTCTGGAAGCAGCCGAATGCTGTTAAATATATATGACCGAAGGTCAGATCGTAAAACCGCGAGCCAGCTCTAGAGCTGGCTCGCGGCCTTAAAATTTTACATATAATTTTATGGAACCGGACAAAACTTGAATTTCTAATTTGGGTTGTAAATGGGCTACTTGAACCGCCCTAATGGGCCGAAAGTCAAGAACCTGAAGCTGGAAAGACACGTCCAAATTCTCGACGTTACGTCCAGTACTAGTACTGCAGATGAGATGATTGGGGTGGATTCGTTGATCTATTGTTGTGACCACACGTTTGAACATTGATAGTACGCTTTAGCATTTGATATCAACAGATGCCATGAGCCTGATGATGAGTCGTCGATTCCAACGCAGAGTGACTCGTCAATGTCCATCGTGTACCCGGACTCTCTCGGCCTGGTGAGTAGGATGTGTTCTTTGAACCGAACCTGCTGAGCATTCGTCAGGGGGCTAAAGCAAAATTTGCCAATCAACACGAAGCATCAAATACTTATACCACTGTGAAGATGCCACGCCTGGTCAAAGGTGAAGGGTTTCTTGACTTGGTGTTATGCGACCATCACTATTTTTTTCTATCAAAGCCATTCTTGTCTTTGGTCTCAGCAGTGCGATGAGAAGTTGACAATCTTGCCCAAGTGGTAGATTCATCTGCGGAGCCTATCTATGGGATTTGCTTGCCAGAATAAATCCGCGAGAGTGGTTTTTGTCATTGCGGTGTTTCAGATCCTGATCCCTTCTGTTCAGGAAGTATTGACAAGTAGTCGTGTTTCCCTACAGACAAAAATCATACATCGAGAAACTCTATCAACAAGTGAGGCATATATTATCTTGGCTTTCTATCTTGTCCGGCGTTCGATCATTAGAGCGATCGCCATCTTCGAATCAATATCGAATTTGCATTTGAATTTGAGGGTCCACAGTCCCTGTTATTCGGGCGCGTGTAATTCCCTCAGCACTGGTCCTTCATTGTACTTCGATGTAGCACTCCAAATTCTGATCTGTGAGTGTCAAGCCACATTGCCTTGTTGGCCCAAGCAGCCGAGCCGTTTCAATTCAATTACAAATGGGGGAAGGGGGATCCCCATATCTCCAAATCATAGCAGTACATACCGTCAGCACAGAGGTCTGATGAGGGAAACAATGATTTCTAAGTGTACATTTCAGGTTAAGATCAAGGTGGTGGTATTAGGAAGTTGTTCACGCGCTTCAACACTGATCTTGATGGGTTTAATGAGCCATCTGAAGCTTCAATCATCCATTGAAGTCGCGACCGTATGAGACTTTTATCTACTCGAGACGTCGCCCAAAAAATAAGCACATGAGATAGATTGTACATAATTTTCGAAGAAAACCACAAAACGAACCTATTCGTGGTACGGACTGTGTACGGAGCTGTCTCGCATCGTCGAATGTTTCAACTTGTATAAAAAAAAATCTCGTATCAGACCCTGCCCTTATGGCATCCAAAGCGATATGTGATCGGGGCACTCACCCAATACGCAAAGAGCGATCGCAACAACGAGCTCCTGCGATTGAGCTTTGTGACATCCTCCAGCAATGACACAGAGTTTTCCTCTGTCACGCAAGGCTTGCACGCACTTCGGACTAATATGCGATAGAGTCTTACTAAAGTTTTTCAAAACGGATTGATCGCCTTCTATTTGAAATACCTCCTTTCCATCATCGCCTTGCTTAACAATATGTATCTGATCAGTCGACGTAGATACCAACACTGTCAGCAAGTTACCTAAACTTGTTTGTGATCCTAGAGTTGTCATGCCATCTGCCAAGGAGATGTTGAGGCCAGTCTCCTGAATGTTGAACCTTTGTTGAGAAGCGGTGGATGTCTGCTTCTGCAATTCCTGTTCCGCAAAAATCTCTCGAAGTAGGTTGGGGATGTCATGTCGTGATGCAGATAGAATCTTTGTTGAATGCTTCCAGAATGTCGTCGGGGTCAAACCTCCCGACCACGACTCGTGATCATCACCTGGGACACAAATTGATTCAATACGCAAGCGCGTCCAGGCTTGAAAAGAAACGAGCTGTGCTTCGTACCTGCACCTTGAACGTATGTGTAACCAGCGGGACGATATGTTGTCGAAGTATCTGTAACAATTTTACTGGCACTGACGCAGACCACAGGGTAGTAGGATGGTAGAACATCCTCGTTTGAATTGAAGTCCGTCATCGTACAGATGCTTGTAGGACAACACCAAACCGGACGCAGAGGTCTTTTGAGTTGAGCTATGCTCCGGCGAAAATCGAAAGAAGATGACTAAGATGTGTAGCATTATGTGAATATGTCCATGTCCAGTTGAGCACCAAGACAAAATATTGTAATGGGTTTGCAAATGCCTTCAAAAAACCTACGAGAAGCTCCTTAGCCCAGTCTTCAATCCGTTGACACATCTGGTCGTGTTCACTTGCCCTGACAGCATCGGATGGAGTCGAAAGCCGAATAGATAGCTCATCTGACCAAAATTCGCGGTCTGTCTCAGCGATTGGGTACTGTTTCATCAGACGGAGTCGAACGGTATTCAAAACCGCACACCAAGCAGGTACTGTCTTGGATAAAGCATCGGGAAACCTCTGTGAATGCACGATGAACACAAAATGAACACCCTCAATATTTGGACGGAGAACAAATCCAGGCAGGAAGGGAGCGCGAGTTGAAACCACCTTGCCTCTCCGAGTCGAATCCACGATTAACACACCCTTCCGATCGATGATAAGATTTACCAAATGAAGATTGGACCTGTGTACAAAACAAAACAAAACATTTCTTGCATATGCTGATACGATGGATTATGAAAAGCCTCAAAAATTCATCAATCTTACCTGCGCACACTGAATTGCCATTGGCCATCGTGGCCATCCGTGGACTTGAAATAAACCGAGCAGTCCGGTGAATTGGCAGGGTCCACATACCAAGCTCCACACCGCTGGTTAGCTGTGAAAGACGCATACTGTCAGCTTTGATTCCATAATTATGACCAGGTGTTACCTAGCGGGCTTGAACCTCACCGATGATTGGGAATTGAGGGAACTTCTTGGCGACTGATACGACAAATTCGCAATCTTCGGCAACCGAATGGATTCGATTATAGCTGAACCTGTTCGATACATCGCCATTGGACGATGATCACAAACGAATGCGACTAGTCAGCATCGTCGAGTCGTCTTAGTCGAGATCACCACGTCCCCACAGGAAGTGCAAGCTTACCGACCACATTGGGCGCGTATAAAAGTAAAGTGACACAATGAGACAGATGTGCGTGAGCAATCAGGGTGCAAGGGTTTCACCCATGAAAAGGAGTCTCACATGTCTTTCTGCTGCTTATTCACTTCCTTCTCTTGTTCCCGAAAGATGCTATGATGATTGGAAACTTCTGCATTGAATACCAAGGTGGACATGGCTGATGGAGCGCGGTTGACCATCCCTCACGAGTCCCACTCCCGGCTACAAGACATCGAGCCTTGATGAACCGGGTCGCGTCGGTATGGGGTGTACATCTCCGAGTCGGACCACGCTGCGTCAACCACAATCTGTCGTCACCCGCAGCCGTTTTCCTCGGGCGTACGTGGCCGTCAGGTCACGTGCACCGGTCTACAAAAGCTCTTCAATCTCCCCCGCGGGTTAAACAGACATCGTACCTTATCCAATCCGATTCGCCCTCTCCACCACGATTTAACGAAGACTTTGATCCTTTGACTGGTGAGACTCCCCAAACTATCTCCTCTTAATCTCCTCCCTTTGTCATTAGGCTGACTAAAGAGCTTGCTTTAGACTATCCTACCTGACTCTGAATATGTCTGGGGCTTCTCGAGGCGTAAGATTCACTCTGTCTATTTGTACGATAGCCTCTCCTATAGCTGTCCGGCTCTTACCCATCCATATCTGCTTCCATTTGACTCGATCTGATTTGCTACTGACTTGAACAGAATGGCTCAAACAAACGAATCGTGATTACGAAGTGAGGTGCAGTCGATCCTCAACAGACTCCGTTATTGGGTGAACTGTCCTCACACATTCTGTTTTGTTGTCGGGTTACAATTACTAGAGATGACTGGCAAGAAACATTGGCCGGGATTCATGTTGACAAAGAGTGAGTTTCAATTTGCTTTCATACCATACATGCAATCTATGATGAAATCTTATCAAAGAAGGAATCTCTCCAAGTTATCATAACAATGCAGAAACCTTATCTCTTTATCCTGATCTCTCTTTACCTCCCGCTTCTTTCCTTCATCTTTGAAATCAGCTGCTGACTTTGATTCTTCCCGTGCAGTGATTTGAATCGATTAGTCATGGACTATCTTGTGATAGAAGGTTTCAAAGACGCAGCCCAAAATTTTGCTAGAGAATCGGGTCTAACTCCAAGCATTGATTTGGAATCCATCGAGTATCGCATGGGTATTAAAAATGCAATTCAACGTGGAGATGTGGAAGAAGCCATTGCGAAAGTAAACGATTTAAATCCAGAGGTTGGTCCTGTTTTCATTTAGGTGTCCAATCCTATCTAGCTATGATTCAAACCCCATGCACCACTCCTAGCGAGCTTCGCCCTCGGGTGATATAGTCTCGCAAAGAGGAAGTCACAGACAACAACCAAACCAGTCCGAATGAGCTACAGTTTTACACACGTCTCTGTCCCATTTATGTACCCCAAGCTGATCTCAAACCATCCCATCTCAATCTCCCTCAGATCCTCGATCATAATCCCGGCCTGTTCTTTCACTTGCAGCAACAGCGTATGATAGAATACATCAGACGGGGTCAGATTGCCGAAGCTCTCAGTTTCGCTCAACAAGAACTTGCTCCACGTGGCGAGGAAAATCCAGTATTTCTCGCCGAATTGGAAAGGACGATGGCGTTATTAGCATTCGACACCGGTATTCGAGGGACCGACAATCCTGAGTCTGCCAATGTGATCCCTTCACACATCCAAGAGCTACTACTGCCATCTCAGCGCCAACGTACGGCTGGTCAATTGAATTCTGCCATTCTCACATCTCAATCTCATGGCAAAGATCCGAAACTTCCCAACCTTTTACGTATGATGGCTTGGGGAGAAACGCTTCTAGAGTCTCGCGCTGATTTTCCCAAGTTAGACATCGCACAATTATTAGCCCAAACTGACGGTGGCCAAGATTCGAGTTCGATTCGCGCTTCCGAGACACCTAGTGGCACGGTAGTCTGATTGTAATTTTTCTCTGTAATGCTAGTTGTACCACCTATTTGTTGTCTTATCTGCCAAACGAATTCAAGCCGTCTCAGTCGAGCGAGTTTGTTCACGTACCCTTTCTGCAGGCGCTGCTCCGCGTTACCATTACAACGTTCTGCCCTTTGATTTACAGCCGTTAAAGAATTAAACGGCAGAATTCTTTGTCTGTGTGATGCACCCGAAGTAAAATCTGAGAGCCCAAAACTAGATTAAACCTGGTTTTAGACACAATTCAACAATGTCTTGCGGGAGACCTGTCACTTTCGATCGGATTTAACAGGTTTTATACTTTTGTATTAAATCTCGGTGTGACACAAATTTGTATTTTTATGCCTTTTATATATTTAGTAGCTGTAATGACAACCCCATATTAAGCTTGTTGCATGTATTCACCATGCCCTTGCCACTATCCTTTTTCAGCACTCTTGAAATATGAATTCAAAGGACCAGCACATCAACCCAATCTTTCTTGATTGTTCTTCCCCAGACAATCTGTTGGCCAATGAAGGTGTCAATGTTGATTCCCTGGACCCTGTGATTGTTCAGGTGATGTTTTCAAGCTTTTCAACTACAGCCATTCTGATATTTCTTGTTGCTCTCATTTTTGAAAAGAAAAAGTTTATGAGCTCAAAACCTAAGTTTTAACTACTTAAAACCTGGAAATTGGCTGTATTTCCTTGAATTACAGCCAATTTCAAAGTTTCACTGAGTAGAAACTTAGGTTTCACCAAGTGTCACTTTTTCTTTTTTCGTAAACGGAGTGACAAGAACTATTGGAATGGCTGTATGCCCACATCTTAAATAGCCCCCAACTAAGTATCAACAATGAACCAGACAATGAAGACAACACTGAATATGCTTTCAACTTTGACTGTGAATTTTGGGTTCCTTGCAAGACAGTTGGGTCATGATTTTCACAAGTTTCTTGCTCAGATGGTGTGATACCTTGGAATGCAGATCAATTTAATTTGGAGAAACTCAAAGCAAAGTGTGCTGGATTTGCCCAGGATGATAAGCAGTCCCTTGGAAGATTGGTCAACTAGGACTCACCATTACTCTACAAGCCGCAACACCTCAAACACAATGAGTTTCAATCACCCTTGACAACCAGTTGGTTATCAAGGACCTCACCAACTGCCCTTCCAATGTCACATCATTAATGGATCAGACAGAGATGTCCAAAATTCTCATCTACCTCAAAGCTGCCTTTGCCAATGTAAAGTTCACAATCAGATGGTACCCTGGACACTGCGGTGTCAAAGGTAACAAAGTAGTGAATAAAATAGCTAACAGCTTGGCAAAAAGGGCCTAGTACTTCCAGGTCTACTCCTACTCTAGCAGGGTTTACCCCAGCAATCAAAGCTTGGTCCAAACAGGACCCCGGAAAGCTCCCCCTGAACCAACCAACATAAAACCCGGATTTTGAGAACTTTCATACCCAAAAATTCCAGACTTTTGGAGCTGTGAGCCTACTAGCGTCTGTCAGGCTAGTAAATTCAATAAAAAGGTTGTAAAAGGTATGGTAGCTTCTACCAAAGTTGTGTAGATCAATATCTACAAGTATGAATGGGTAGAGATTTGGGTGTAAGAGCTTTACTTGGAATAAACAAGTAAAGACTCCAGTTAGTTGACCTTTAAACAAAGGCTTTAGCCCAGGGATTTTGGGTTAATTATTGTCTTTACAATAATTAAAAATAAGAGCAACTGACGTGCAGTTCTCAATCCTAATTTGATCCTCGTCTTACTCAAAGAAAGGTCAAAGAAGGTGGTGTTAAAGTCTATTATAACACCGGGAACTTTACACTCTGACTAATAGAGATTTCCCTGTAGATTTAGAGTTTCTTATATCAGATGAATCCCATATCTGATATAAGCAGTACCCGAGGACTACTTCCTTACAAGTAATTCCACCAAATGGATATGACAAGAACTACTGATTATGGAGTCTAATCAGAAACAAAGTTGAATGAGCACACGGAATAAGCAACAAGACACAAGGTTTGAGTTTCAAGGTTTGTAGAATCAGGCCTTTAAAGTTTGGTAATTGATAAGCAAAGTTTAAAGGTTCTAGGAAGATGGATAAAAGCAAAGTTGTGTAGTTGTTGAATAATAATGTGATGATGTTCTTCCTCTCAAATTGGTTGGATTTCCAGGGTTTATATAGTCTGAACCTTGGAAATCTTTGGACTACAAGTGCGCAAAAATTGTGGTTCTATGGTTAGGTTAATTACAGTAAGACAGTTACTATTGTATTATAAGTATATTTCACTTGTTACATATGTGTTATGGCTGTGAAATATATGTAGCTTTGGTTTGCATCAAAGTTATGTATGTTCACACCCTTTGATGTAAGTTCTGCACATGTTACATATGCTAAATCATATGTAACTTGACTCTTGAAACTGAGCCTTGAGTTTTAATTGCTATTTTTAAGGTTTTTATTATAATACATCACACATTGGTACCCTGGTTTAGTACTCAGGGCTGACAGGAGCTTTCATACCAAATTGGTTGGTAACATTTCAGTACCAAAAGTGAGCCCTGGGCTACAAAGCTATGTTTTGGTGCCATTTAGTGCCAAAAACATTGGTATGAAGATGAGATTTTAAAAATCATACCAGGCACGTCTGTAAGATGAATGACTAACAAACCATTTTCATACCAGTTTGGTTGGTAACATGACCAAATCTTGACCACTCCAATCATACCAAACATGTTGGTAGGTTCAAGGGGAGCTTTCCGGGGCCTGTCCAAACTCAACAACAACAATTTCAGCCTAAGTGACATCAAGCAATTAGGACACCAAACACACCTATGTTATGACCGGGCTTGGGGGTCGTGCTTGGGGACAGACAGAGAGGGATGTTGGGTACCACATAGTATAGTTATTGTAGCATAGAGGAGAAGGCAAAGAGGAAAGCTCTGCTCTACAAGTGGGACTCAGGTGTATCCCCTTTCACAGGTTGTGACACTCCTGCTAACCAGTGTCAGAGATCATAACAACCTACAATACACATCAAAGCATTACAAGAGCTCACCATGCATGAATGTGCAACAATGACACAAATTTGATCAAACCACATCTAACTAATCCTATCTTTTCAAACATAATCAGAGATTTGACCCAGTGTGTGATTGCCAAGAAGGAATCAAAACCACTGAGGCACCTTTTTCATTTGCCACAGATTTCAAACACACCAATAGAAGCTCCTACAGGACATCAACACTACAACAAATGACATCTTTACCCAGGGGTATAGAAAAGTAGTGTGGGCATAGAAAACTATTGGTAGGGTACTTTTCTATACCAATGAACAATGCTTTTGATACACCTATGTACAATATTTGAGATTGAGAAATTGAGTATTTTCTTTGCGCTGACTCAGCTGTATGTATTGGGACCCAAAGGCAGTGTTACAGTGCACAGAATCTCAATTTTCTGTTTTTTGATATTTTTACCCCAAAATACAATTCTATGCTGATACAAGAGATCTTCAACCATGTTCAGCATTGTATATGAGTATGTATGCACTGTGAAGATAATGTAGTTTTCCAAGGTGAAAAAAGATTACATTTAATCTACAAAATGATTAATTCTGCATTAATTCTGCATTATTCTGCATTAATTCTGCATTGAAAATCATTTTGGTCATATGCAATCATTTTTCACCTTGTAAAATTCATTCTCTTTGCAGTTTATGCACAATCTTACACAAATTGACAGACACTCTCTACATATGTACAATATGACTGATGGACCATGCTTTGCCATGGGACAAGACTCAAGCAGGGCTTTGAGTCTAGATTTATATATACAGTCCTTGTGGTCATGTGAATATTTTCATCTGTGGGTATAGAACAGAATGGTTTGTCTAGGCATAGATGATACTATCTCTATGGATATAGAAGAGTACTTTAACCATAGTTTTCTATGCCCACACTACTTTTCTATACCCCTGGGTAAAGATGTCATTTGGTGTAGTGAAATTATCATCAGATTCAATTCTCAAAGAAATCAGAGAATCAATCATCTATTGTACATAGTCAAATTTATGCAGTATGTGGTCATTTGTTGAATTGAATTTGGACCAGCTTGATCAACATAGACTCAATTGCATCATTCATTCAGTCGGAAATCACAGAAGACAAACAAAGGAGAACAGGCCTGTTCATTTCAAAAAATGGTGCCTTACAATTCCTCAGAGAAGTTAATCTTTAACATGTCATTTGAAGTTTCAGAGCAATTGACAAGCCATCAAACCAACAAAATTCACTTCAACTTTGCACTACTTCAAATCAAACAAATTGATTTTCCAGCTTAGGTTATTGACATTCTTCAAAAATTATTAAAGTCGTCAAGGAAATATCAAACCAACTCAATTCACTCATAAAACTAAAACCTACTTCATGACGTACAGAATCAGATCAAAAGTAATGGTGAACATCAAACAACTACATTACATTATCAATAAAACAGTGTCATGTGGTCTTCAGATTTGGTGGTTTCAATTCAGTTGATCTACCCTAAAATCATTTTTTGATTCCCTTTCCTTTGTTGTTGAAGTTGATGATACAATTGGTTTAAGTTGAAAAGAAAGCTCCATTGATTTGTTCACTCAAGCACACAATCAAAAATTGGAATATGCAGCTCAAATGAAAGCACTGGCAGAACAGCAGTATCAACCTACCACTGGTCACATATATAATAATAGAAAATTGCAGGAGGGAATTTCCCCTCCACCACCGTATATAGATCCATGCAAACAAACGGTTATAGACTCAATAGAATCAATGCATCCATCTCCATCTCCATCCGGTATATCCGTGAACACTCTCGTAATAGGAGCAGTTGGGGTTCTATTAGCTTCATTGTCTGCTGTAGTTTGCTGCATCTGTATGAAAGGAAAATCAAGGTACAAGACTTCATCTTCAATTTATCCTTGCAAATATCTTGACCAACATTTGTTTTGTGCAGTAGTTCAAAAAGTGGTAATTCTTGCCAAAATGGCTCATGTCAATAGTAGCCTGAAGACAATCAAACAGAATCTCAAAGCATATCAGAGAAAAGAGCTG